TAAATTATTTAATTACTAATATAATAATATTGTATAATACATTTTTGGTAAATGCCCTTCACAAAATTGAACTTTACATTTTTTTCTTCACATATTTATGAAACATTAATTTAAATTAAAATACAAATTTAAATCTTGAATTAAATAATTTATCAAACTATAAAATACTAACACAGGTAATCCGATGAATTTGAAAGAGCCTTAAATAATTTTAACTTACAATTTAAAATATTTAATCAATTCTATTACATACACATTATGAAGAAATTATTAACTACATACAAAATGTTATCACTATTTAAATAATACTGAGTCATACATACAAATCATTTATACAAATGTAGTTTGCGCATCATAAATAAATATAAAAAAGTGATTCGAAATTCAAATTCTTAAGCCTAATCTCATTTTCGAATTATAAAATTAAAATTGTCATAAATCTTAATCTTTAAGCAGTGTAATAAATCATTTTGAATAACAATTCGAATTATTATATTCGGTGACACTTTCATGTTATATTTATAATAATAATAATGGATATTCTTTTTTTATGAAATTCAATAAGACACAAAAATTATATTACTTGCTTCTAAGGCATTGTTCGAGTTGATAAATGTGTGCGATTTATTATGCTTGAAATATTATAACGTAACATATTCTATTATGAGCTCACGTATTGTGATTTTAGTTAGATTTATTATGACGCGGCTGTAACATAGATGATCAGCTGTCGTCTTACTAAGTACATACTTGGGAGAATGGTCGTGCTTTCCATACATAATAATCTTATTGTACTACTGCGAAACAGTGCAGAGTGCCTACAATTTATGTTACTTTTTGGCTCTAAAAGCCTGCGTCAGGCTCGGCAAAGCAAGATATAAAGTGATATTGTTCGGATTAATGGCTATATTTCATGTTAAAGTCATTTATAGAGAATATTACTGAAATTCTTTTCTTTTTCTATTGCTCCATCTGTTATGCCTCGTTAGATATTGAAGTAAGTTTTCACATAAGAAAAAAAACTTAAGTATACGAACTTAGACTTTTTTTCAGTAAAGGTAATGTTATTCAAATTCAAAACCTTTACAACGTCATAAAGCCGGGAATGAAGTGGCTAGCTCTAGTGGAAACAGTTAAATCCGACTGTAGTAATTTTTCCTTAAAATATATCCATAATAGCCAGCGGTGAGCTCGTGAAAAATCACCATACGTGAGTCCTCAGAGTGCATGATGCAGTAAATTCCCGCGGAATAATAAATCTTCCACGATTTATCATAATGTGTGATATCTTGGTCATTATTCTGAAAACGCATGTCTTATCGCTTCAGTTCCCTTATATGAAATAAGTATTTTTCGTACTGCGATACAATAAACTACCTTATTCATATTATTACAATAAGCCTATTATTGGATACAATTATTTGTATTCATATACATATTTGATAGTCCATAAAAAGCTTCATCTGTTTTATTATTTATTCTATATAAAAATATTTTATTTATAATTCATTACCCAGATTCCAAATATTAATTGAATATTTATCCATAATTCAGAAGTTTAAATGATTGTTTTTTGCGTAAAATTTATTTATTTTCATTATAACTTTTATTTTTGAAAAATAATAAGTTTATCCGATGCCGTTTCAAAAATGGAACATAGCATTAATAATTGAAAAATAAATGTAACATGTATGACACGTTTCGCCGTATTTGTATAGTTATAATTATTCTCGTATAAATTATGTATTTTTATATAATTATGTATAATTAATTATTTATTATACATAGAATTTATTAAGTGTGTGTTTCTAATTCGTTTCTCGTCAGTTCAGTCTCTTGAATGTCGTCTTCGCTTCGACTTGAATCTGAGTCACCTGTAAAATATATTTTGAATTAATTATTTACAAGCACCCTACATAATATTAAAAACATTTTGAACTTAAATGACAATGACCAAATGTAGATAAATATTTATAATATAAGGCAATTTCGTACATCATTCGGATATACTGTTCATCGCTAGGAATAGGCGTTTAGCCGGCATTGCCATTGCCAAGTGCAATGAAGCACCACGGCCTCGGCCTAGAGCAGGAGAAGGAAGAAAGAAGAAAGAGAAAAGAAAGGGTCTAGTCAGTAAAAATCTGACACCCACAAAAAATACGTTAGAAATAGACAGCATGGGGTGGTACAGCCATATTTCCGATTGGAATGATACTACGGTCTCACAGAAAACCCGTGTGAAACAACGCTTACGTTATATTACGCCGTTGTAAGCGATGTGATCGGAGAATTCTACCCCAGGTATGAATAAAAGACATTGCTTACCGTCAGGTACCACAGTCCGCCCGTGCATTAAAAATTAATTTAATCAACAAAGTACAAAATCCATGAATTTGTACTTAAACGTCAGCAGTAGTTTTTACTGCCTCAAAAAAGTGTGAACATTCATCATTATTTTTTAATTCAGTCAAAATCACTTTTAATTTAAAATACACAATCCATAATTGATTAAAATATGTTGACAAAATACCTAGCGTAAAATAATAATAAAAATTAAAGAATTAAATCAAAAAGCGCACATTTTCGAATTAAAATTTTCCAAATAACATTTTATGTCTCCAAGGAATGCAAATAAAATTTGAATCGAATCAGAAAGTTTACAAACTCATGCTTGTAGCTATCATTTTAATAATAATTTAATTAAAATTTACTTCATAAATTGTTTTATGAAAGGTACATTGGACTTTAGGTTCAAGTAGTTTTACTGTTAAAGGACTTTGGTGATTTATATTAGAAATGTTTGAATTATTAATAAACAAATAAGCAATCTGTAATAATTTTATTCTGATGTCATGTTTAGCCTTAGATGTGTCAATGCTTTTTAGGGTACATGTAAGCCTAAATTGCTTTTGTTTTGAAATTTTGTGTAGAAACATATTTTTAATACATATATTTTAAAAATATTTTTAAATATGTTTATGTATAATTATGCAACAGTTATCAGCTTGAGTAAATACGCACTAACTTTTTAATTGAACCATTATATTCTTTTATTTTACACTTTTCTTTCTCTTCGCCTTTACACATTAACTTTACATAAAAACTTTAGCCTCTTTGGTTGCAGTCATAGTCACAGTCACAGTCCTGTTTTTTGAATATCAGTTAGTGCGTTTGCTAGCACATCGTGAGGCATATTGAAATTGACAAATCACGTAAATTAACTGAGATAAGCCCTACTATCTAGTACTTATCCAGTCGCAGCGGGACTCATCAAACCACGCGTCAAACACAGAACCAGAAAAACAATTAACGAACACAAAGTGAAGTTGTGGGCAAAAATCGAGCCCTCAATATGTTGCATTGCAGCCAGTTACTAAGTCACTGCACCAACCGTGCAGGAGTTAAATTACCCAAATCAAAGCAACACTAGACACTTGGGCATAGAATTAATAATATTGCTAGTACAACCAACATTCGAAATTAATTGCTACAACAGAACGATGTCTTCTGCAAAGGATTTCATTTCTATTTCCACACATATGTACATTCTAAGCTACAAAGTCTATGTAAGTCGGTGGTTGCCGCAGCTTGCATCCCCGGATATGCGCATACATTAACGTGTGGCTAGTACTTATTCAGGTACATAATAAGACTTGCAATTATTTCAAACTAGTGACTTGACTTCGCAAGGGTGCAATGTTGGGACAAAATTTTTCCACTATGTAATGGATGTGAATGTATAAACCTTCCTCTTAAGTCACTATATCTATCAAAAGAACGGCATCAAAATCTGTTGCGTAATTTTACAGATTTAAGCATATGAGTTTTTATATATAGGAATATAGGGACAGATTTTGTTATAAATAATATGTAGTGATGAACAGAATACGTGGTTATTTTCTAACCTAGTAAAACCAAGCTTTTATTATGTCGCAAATCGGGTAGACAGAATTAGCAGTGCAGGGGTCTAGTTGGGATAGATTTTTAACCGTATATTCCATTGTAAATTTTGCAACTCTGCGTGCTGAGAGTTTTCGAAATTGACTCACATTTAAAACAATAAACGCCATGGGGGTCACCGGGTGACCTCCGTTGGCGGAGAATTTGCCTTCAACAGTTTTCTGTCGGCAGTCAAAGGCTTAACCAATATATTTTCAACTCATTTTGCATAGTAGCCACACTAACAAGCATAAGGGAAACCCAATAAATAATAATGAATTTATAAGTTAAAATCTTACGTGACGCCTGCAAACATAAATATTGAACTTTTATTATTCGCCTCCGGTCTTACCATGAGGTCTCGTGTCTAAAGCCAGCACAGCAAGTGGAGCATCATCAAGCACTCCTGACCACCTCGCAGCCAGGACCCTGGATCCTCTGTGACCTCTCACCACAACTGTTGGCATCACGCTGGAAGATATTGTGGATCCACCACCGTACATAGATACTCCTACGTTTCTTCTGAGTATTGTGCTAAAAAGGGAAAATATATTAATATAATCAAAGTTGAAGTCAAATAGACCACAATAGGCGCTTTCGAACTAATTTGAACGTCAAGCAAAAAAAAAGGAAAAAAGTATTTCATAAGCTTTAACTTTAAGCGTGTCAGTCTGTCCGTCTGTCTTCTAGTGACGATATTTGCAAGTTCCAAAGTGTAGATTCCTATGGAGAAGAACGAGCAAGAAACCTGAGAGCTCCAAGGTTACCCTTTGACAATCAGTTTTACAATTCATCTTATAATGTTTCTATAGTAAGGCAAGTCAATTGTGTGTTCATAGAAGGATCGCAGATGATGATGAAACAAAAGTAAATTGTACTAAGCTTGACCAGAATGTTACCACGCCCTCACTGAAAAATCAGCTTAAAACACCCTTTCTTTCGCCAATCCCTAAATCTCCAAAGTCATAATCCCTAAAAGGCTAGCAACGCACTCGTAATTCCTCTAGTGTTGCAGGTGGCCATGGCCGATGCCGATTGCCTACGATCAAGTAATGTGTCTGCTAGCTCGGTGCCATATCACATAAATCCATTCGTGCTGAAGCAGGGCTCTCCCACATTTCCAAACCGAACCTTGGTCAAGAATAAAATGTTGTAACTTGTAATTCAATTCAATGAAATTCCTGAATTGATATTTTTACCCACCTTTGTTCTGGATCCCTTGGTCTACTTTTCTTCTTGCACATGACAATCATAGCTACACACAGAGTTGTGAGGATAGTCAGGAGCACCAGAGATAGTGCAGCTCCCACCAGCAGTGCCACGCTGTTGTCAGGGGCTGGTGGTTGAGGAGGTGGCGCTGGTGTCATCGTTTGTAAAGATCCTGGTGGAAATTATTACTATGAAGTGCAGAATGTTAATCAGGGGTGATGGATGTGCGTGCGTACTTTATTAGTAGGTTATTTTTCTCAAGTTTATTAAGATTCAACTAATAAAAAATTACATTTTGAAGGCAAAAAATTTTACCACAAATGTTCCAGAACACTCAATAAACAATAGAATTATGAGAAAATTTTGGGTAACACATTTTTTTAATAGATGTCATAAAAAGATATTTTTGCTCACCAGGCCGATCCAAATCGTCGGCAGTGCGTATTTGTACGCTGTGCAATGCTGCAGGTCTTTGTGATCTTCCACGAGGAGTTTCAGCGTAAACCAGCAATGTATACTTTCCAGGAGACAAAGCGTCTAGAGCGAATTGAGGCTTGTCGTTTCTCACGCGGTACACAGCTTCAGTTAATCCAAAGGCAGATATTCCCTGGGACCAGAAAAATTATCTTGGAATATGAGCTATTAAACAATATTTCCAAGTAAAGAAGATATTGATAATATGTAATATTCTCTTGTTATACAGAACAAGAGAAATCATTAAAAACATTACTGTCTTATCGAAATCCATAGAAATCCTTTTAAAGAACAGATACATACATAAGTCAGACAGTGCAATTTCTATGAAAACTTTATTGTTACAAAAGAAATTAAAATAAGTTGTTAAAGTTCGAAGAATAATCGCAAGTAACTTTATCATGCATGTTTTCGTTGAATTATTGTAATGAGATACTATTTTATAGAACACTAGTTAAATTTTTCCACCAAATGATTTTAAGTCTTCTTTCTAGCAAGACCATTTTAATGTTATTATATTCTTAAACTCAATTTTACTTCACAAATTATATCGAGTTTCTTGTAGAATACTAAATTATTTTCACACATATCAATGATGTCATGTGAACTGTATTACCAAATTTAATTTGCTATAGTAAATAATTTGAAAAATTGGAAATCAACACGTAAACATAATCTAAAAATATAAAACAAAATTAATATAAGGTAAAACATAGATTAATAATAATAACAACAACGAACAACATCAAAAATATTTAAAATTAGAACGACTCAACATGCAGTTGTAAAAAAAAAACAATACACCATATCTGTGATCGAATGAAACGAATAACAGTTGAAAAAGAGAATATGATCTAGCAGAATGCGTCATACAAATCTATTGAGGACAGTAACTGGTCAATTTTTGGTTATTTTTCCATATTTTGAAGCCATCCAAACAGAATTCATAGTTCCGACGCAAAAGTAAACCGTGTGAGTTTTACACTATTTTTAGAGTTACCAGTTAGAATAAAAAAAACATCCGTATGTCCAGAAAAAGTTGAACTACGTAAAAGTATGATCATTGTTATACACGAGAGGTTTCTTGTTTTACTCGAGTTTTTTAAAACATAATATTTACATTAAATTCAACGCATCCTTTGTTTATTCTGTATGATATTACTACTAAATTAGCATGAGTTTTAGAAGATACTGAACATTTGTATTACAAACCACATTTTCATCGTAAAAAGGATTGTCAACTAAGATTTTTATCGCGAGACATGGGTTAGGGACAACTTTTGGCATTAGATCAATAATTATTATGTAAGGAGCTCCGGATGCAGTAAAAAGAAAAACATCTTAATCTTGCAACATTGCATGCAACATTTTGAGTGTCACTGTCACACATAAAAGTGACTGAATCAATCTTTTAAAAAGACGTGAACTTAATAAAGCATAAAAGACATTAATGATTAGACTATAACAGTTAAGGAACAGGAGGATCCCAGGTGATTGAAGAGCTCAAGTCTTTTAGGGATGCGTAAGTCCACATAGTTAGCACGGCACCACAGCCACGCCGCGTTTACCTGATCGTTCATCGTGGAGATCTCATTGTCTTCTCGCGCAGTTTCAGCGCGATGCCGTACCTCCAAAGCTTCTAGAAGGAACCGCTGAGGAAGACCACCGTCATGACCTGGTTCGCAGTGGAGCAGCTCGTTCTCTATCTCGCAGTTGCTTGGTGGTTCGGGGAGCGCTGTGGATTTGTGGTGAGATAAGTTGGCACGCATAGGTAGGTGATGAAATAAAAGTACCTATTAACAGTTGCGTTTTGTAAATTTGGAATATTAAGTTGCAGTCAATGTAGTTGGACTATTAAAAGATCAATTTGAGATTTTGACGAATCAGATTTATTTCATAACAAAGTTGCAAGAACAACCATATGCGAAAAATGCAGACGAAGTAATCAAATAGAATAAAGTTATTGAGTGATATTGCTCTGATGTTCTGTTAATATTACCTGCCGGTAAGATCCTGAACAGACAAGGCTCCCGCTGGTTCCCAACATCATTGCTGGCCCAACACGCCAACCAGCCCAAATCCTCATCCACATCGGAGTGCAGACCATGGATCACTGTGCTGGTGGAACCCATCACAGTCACGTTGGCTGCTGGGATCTATAGTTTAAATCAAAACATTTATTTAAAGAAAAAACACCTCAGACACTTTTGAGCTCCAAACAAAAAATATATCAATAAGTTTAACATTATTGCATTGTATGTCAGTTTGTCGGTCTGTCTTTTAGTAAAGCTATTTGCTCGTTCCAAATTGTCCTATGAAAGACAATCACCAAGAAACTCCAAAATTATTATTTTTCAATCTATTCCACAATTACTTCGGTTCTATTATGTGAGAGATATAAAATTTAAATCAAATAAAGTTTATATTAGTCTCTGTTGAAAAAAATCTAAAATAAATAATTTATGACGTAAGTACTATCAGTGTCATAAGTGCATGGAGGATTCCAAATCAAAATCGTTTGTACGGCGTTTCATCGCCTTAATAATATACCATTGATGATATAGATGGCGCTAGTATACTAGTGGTATTGAAAAATATACATTTATAGTTTTTATCAGATACAAAGTTATTAACTTAATAATTTTTTACACAAATTAATACTACGATATTCCAAACCTTTTTAAAGCAAAGCACGCAATAACCAGGATTAGAACTCGGTAGCATAAAATTTACCGATGCCACTAGCCATTAGGCTATTGCGTAACCTTGAAATGTTTTTGAAATTATCCTACTCTTTATTATATTGGACTTGTTGAGCAACTATAACCCGATCATAAATCTCAAAACAGTTGAGGGTAATTTAATATTAACTGTATAAAAATTAAACCATTTTGTTCAATCATAACATTCTTTACTATCTTTGAATGAGTTCAGTTACGATTTGTTTAACAAGTTTTTAATATTTATTTTTATCATGAGTTTGCGTTCAAATATTGATATGGCTACGAGGGCCCAAATAATAGCATTGCATAATCAAAGCTTAAATTATACTGAAATTTCGAGAGAAACTGGCTTAAACGTAAGTATTCTTTTAAAATGACCGTTCGTTATTTATTTTATTATCCGTGGTTATCGATACATGAAAATAATAAATAATACACGTCTCTTACAGGTAAAGACTGCCACTTTATGGATATCTAAAACTGTTTCAAGAAGAGGGTTCATTGGAGCACCGTAGTGGATCTGGCAGAAGACGTGATATTGACTCAGACCAGCTTCAACTTATGGGGCAAGGTTATGAGGAAATATACTGGAACATTGTCATCTTCAGTGATGCAAACAGTGAAAACTACATAGATGTGCTGAAGACGTCATGAAGATGTGCGAGTGATAACGTTCGTGCAGGACAATTGTCCTATGTGTAATGTTCCATAATTGTGCAAGTGTTTAGTCAGAAATCAGACATACGGATTATTCCTTAGCCAGCGAGATAGGAGAAATAGGATCGATAAAAATGGTGGCTACACTAGTTCTTAGAAGAAAAGATATTGTTGACTATAGGATTAAGCAATTACAAGACCGGGGTAGCTATATTTTTTTTAATGGATAAATGTTCAAACTTTGTGTTAGTAGGATAAATTATTTATTTAATATTACTATAAACAATTCGTCCCATATCTAATGAATGCTATATCCCGGTCTTAGAAATGTTATTGATTTAAGGTCTAGCTTCAATTTCTTCCTTGTTCTGGAACGAATACTTAAGCTATGAGCCTTTGTCATAACATGATGCACAAAATGAATGATGATGTCAATACTTTAATTAAATTTTATGTGGAGGTAAAATAGTTGCAGAAGTAAGGTTGCATATTATATAGAATCGTATTATAACATTGTGTTTTAAACTAACTAATAAATGACTAGCACAATACAATTTTGATTTAAAATACTTATTAATCTTTTATAATGTGTATTAAATAATGTGTCAGTTAGCTGAAAAGTTATTAGGTCAGGGTATACACTATATAAGAAAGAACTAATTATTATGTTTTAAGAAATAAATGTCTGAAATTATAATGTCACTAAAATAGTTTTATTTTTTATTCTTTATGAGAATTAAACTTAGTATTAGTCTTAATCTGTAAGAAAAATATGTTACTTTTACATTAATAGTTAGCACATATTATAAAAGTTATTTATATATATATTTTAAAAATTTTTTATTCTAAAATAATATATATATATTATTTTAGTTTTCTATTATATATATATATATATATATATTTGTTATCTTTTATAAATATTAAACGTCAAACATTTTATTTATATATATTTATATATTATTCTTCAATTTATATAAAAAAAATATAAAAAACCCATTATTAAAAAACCAGAATTTAAAAATGATAACACGGAATTGAACCGGTGCCCTTCGACGTCATTATTCTATCATTCATATTCATCCGAGCTACCGGTCGCATTTTTATGAGATCGAAAATGCGGGTTAGTTTATAACTTTTATTATTGTCTATTATTAATTATTGACGCCATCTTTTAATTGGTTTGCTTTACTTGACTTAGATGGCGCTATATTAAGTCCTCGGAAATGAGAAAATTAACATAATTTATGTGTATTTGAATTTAAATATATTATTGTTTCTTAATTATTATTTTAACTATTAAAAACCTTATTGTGTGCCTCTGCAGTGTTAAGTATTCAAGCTTTGCAGGGTTATTTTCATTTTAAACCAGCGCCATCTAGTTATCAATGGTAGCGTTATGCAAAACCTGTCAGTCAATAGTCGACCTTAAGCTCTCCATGCATTTTTGTCACCCTTAGTACCTATTCATGGATGCAAAAATTTCGAACAATGTTGTAATTGGCTGCTTAGATATTGATGACACAATTTCATGGAAGGCAATTAACTAAGCAAACAATAGCACTATTATATCAAACCACTTAAAACATCCTTTATCTGCACATAAGCTAATTTTACTTAATTCAAAATAATTATAATTAACTGGCATTAAAAAGCTCTTAAGTGTGGAAGAGCCATGTCTCGGCTCGACCAGAGTTATACCACGGCCTCACAAGAGAAAACAGGCTTGAAACAGCCCCAGCGTTGTATTTCGTCGTGTGAGCGACTTTACCGGGAGGCCCAATCCCTAAATCTCCCAAACCCAAATGTCAGCAATGCAATCGAAACTTCTCCGTCGTTGCGGATGTCCATAGGTAGTGCCGATTGCTTACCATCAGGTAATCCGTGTAAGCGTTTGCCGTATATCACATAAAAAATAATCCCTAAAGAGTCATAAATCATACCGGTAATACATCTTTGGTTCCATTGTAAGTCCAGTAGAATCTAAGAGGTCCAGCGTCTCGGCTCGCTGGAGCAGTCACTGAGCATCGTGCTCTGACTTCGCCACCTGGTGCACCAGCTAATTGCTGGACAACATTGCCAGATGCACATTCTGGTCGTGCTGGATAAAAATGAAAGAATTAGTAAAGAAGAACTGCAATGCGACTAAGTTGAATTGGTAGCTGTTCTTTTGTTTTTAGAACTATCGTAAGACATAGTAGATTTTATTGAAAATAACGACTAAGGCAAGGCACTCATGTGAATCAACTGAAAAAAACTCTATTAGTTTCAGACCATAAAAGGACTCTTATTCATAAGCAGCATGCACGTACGCTAGCTAGTAGTCCTTGTAGGAGCTGTCACGTAAAACTATTACAGCTTGTTTGAAGACTGCCCAAAAATATTATCATAAAATCGATAATGTTGAATTATTAAGAAAATGCTAATCAAAAGACAAAATTCTCTTAACCCTAACAACATTAACAAATAATATTTATTTTTGTATAATCGAAAACCTGTATCAAATATAACACGTGATCAAATAACGCAACACACTTAATCAAAGAGAGAAAACTCACACAAAACATTCAGAGTGAGCGGGTCACTGAGTGCACTTCCCTCAGAGTTCCGTGCTCGACACCGGTACACAGTGGAGTGATGCCTCCTTAATCCTCTGATGACTAGTCTGTTGTTTTCTATCGATAATCCTCCGATTGGGTCGTCTCTTATCAGGTGGACCTGGGATAACATTAAAATGAATTATTTCTGTGACACCTTTTTATTGTAAAATCGAGTTATAAAGTACTAGATTTCACCCTAGTAGTAGTCTAGTGTTTTGTTAAAAATTGCGACTTATTCGGTCCAGCCGTTTTTGCATGAAATAATAGCACACGTGCATACATACATTCTTATAAACTTTCGCATTTGTAAGATAATAGGATAGTAGGATTTTAACAAAACATAAAACAGGCTTTAAAGAATTCTTATCAAACCGAAGTGCATATCGACATTGAAAAAATGTACTCATGGAAATAGTTTCTGCTTAGTATCCTAGTGACTGATGGTACTGAAACACTAGAACTACTATAATATAGGTAAAATAATGTCATCTGAAATAAACCCATAATATGTAGTCTAAAAATGTATCGTAACATTAGAACCAGATTTCCATACTCACAGGTATAAAGTCTTAAACAAAATCAAATTTCAGCGCCATCTTACCTTCAAACTCAACGATATTATGAAGTTATTATTTGACGGCATAACAAATTGAATTTTCATGAAGCAACAATTAAATACTCATTATTGAATCACGCCAACAAAGACTTAGTACATGAACATGCTAACATTAATATTTACTTTGAAATTACTTGATTTTCTTCATAATGTTGCAGTTTCAGATTGTTTATATACTTCTTCGTGTATGTGGATTCGAGGTTTTCTAAAGCTAAAGTTTTGTAGATAACTTAGTTTGTAATTACGTATATTGTGTTTAAAGAAATAATATTTTCCTTTTTACGTTTGGAACGTTTTTGCAAATTTGAAGTTATTGTTACTATAAAACCCTTGAATTTGCCAAAAAACTACGCATGCTTAGATGTTGTGAGTGAACGCGGTCAGCGTAGACGTGTTTTTTGTTATTTTTACCCAAAACGATTGGTGTAATAAATAAATAATTTATTAATGTATACAATATTGACCTACAATGTGTACTGACAATAAGTGCTACAAGTACTAAAGTTGTGTGAACTTTTAAATCCATATAAATTCGCGAGTGCAGTATCGCGTATACCCAGAACGCTGAGGTAAGCCCCTCCTCACCTCGGGTAAAAGAGATAGACCGCGAAAAATAAATAATTCGTCTCTGTCGCACACTAAAAACGCGCTCAAGTGTGTCGTATTTTTAACAAAATATTCAAATTCCTATTTGTTTCCTGGAATTAAATTGTTTGGGAATCTACCTTACGAAAATGCCAAGCAATTGTGGTGCTTGTACCTCACCAATAAAGAATATTTTTATGGAATGTGCTAATAGTAAATGTAGGAAGAAATATCATCTAGATTGTCTTGAAATAAGCGTCGCTGTATTTAATAACTATACCCAGGAATTTAAGAGGGGTTGGATGTGTCCGGAGTGTCTATGTGCTAGACCAAAAAGAGGGAATAGCGAGACTCCTATCCGTTCGCTTGACTTCAAACTTTCATCAACTACTCCGCTTAATAGCATAAATGCTTTGCGAGGTAGTCAGATTCACGTTACTCCTACAATTATGGACACGGATACAACACTTCTTGAGGAATTAAGACAATTCCGATCAGAAATGATAACACGAATGGATAGTCAGGCGAACGCAATTACACTATTACTGAACCAATTTAGCCAAACAAAACAGGAGTTAGATAATGTTATAAAGGTAATGAGGGTACTTGAAGAAAAAGTTGACGCAAGGCTTACTCAGAATAGTACGGAGATGCTGAGTAAATCTACACCTAGTACCATTTCTGCGGAAATCGTTAGCATAGAAAACAATCCGAAAAGTTCTACAAAAACGACTAATACCTACGCCAAAACTTTGAAGGTAAACAAAGGTGGGGCCATGAAATCTGCTGTGAAACCGGTAGCCTCTACAAGTGTTACCGACGAAAAAGCATCTGCTGGTTCGTTTACTGTAGACAACGATAAGGATTCTGGCTGGACGACAGTACGCAGACGCAAATCTAACCGACAACCTAGAGAGGTGGGGGTAGGCACGAACATCGAATTAAAGGGAATTCAAGCAACCGAGAAGAAAAAATTTCTACACGTTTGGCGTTTGCATACAGAAACGACAATAGAAGCGATAACGGACCATGTAAGAAATGTTTGTGGGTTGGATGTTAACATTAAAATAGACAAAATCAAACACAGCACTGAGCGAGATTATTCTTCGTTTGTGATTGGAGTTCCGGAAAGCTATTTTGATAAATTAAATACCTCAGATATGTGGCCTACTAATGCGGAGTTCAGTGAGTGGTTTTGGTTTCGAAAATCAACCAAAAGTATCACAAATAAATAGTATTGATATTTTTTATCAAAACGTGAGGGGACTTCGCACTAAGCTGGAAGAGTTCAGAGTTAATATTGAGTCATTGAATTCAGATTTATATGCGATCACCGAGTCGGGTTGTAATGAATCTATAAGTGATTTGGAAATTATTCCACCGGGATATAAAATACTTCGCTGCGATCGGGCGGATGGACGGAAACAAGGCGGCGCGATTCTCGTGGCCACACACCGGCTCGAGATGCGACAAGTACAAGTGACCGACGTATCGCTAGACGCGTGTGTGTTTGAAATGGTTTGTGCAACGATTTACTTAAATAACCAATTTTTGTTTTTGTGTTCAGTGATATATATCCCCCCAGGAAGTGGTGAGAATGACTATATGACTTTATTTAGATTAATAGAAAAACTATGTGATAAGTATAGACAAGTAATTGTGTTAGGAGATTTTAATTTTTATTCGTGTAATGTAAATATTAATAATTATTATGAATGTTTTATGTCCTATTGCAACTTCACTCAAAGTAACACCGTACCCAATTGTCAAGGTCGACAGTTGGATTTAGTATTAAGTACAGGATTTAGCGAAGCGTTGACGGTGGCGGTGGCGGACGAGCCTATTGTACCTATCGACTCGTATCACCCGCCGCTCGCGGTGTGTGTGCGCCTCGGCACCGCGCTGCCCGCGCACGCCCCGCCCGTCGCGAACTGTAGTAGTGGTATAGGCAGTATCCGACCACGGTGGAATTTTTATAAGGCTGACTACCAGCTACTTTATTCTATGTTAACATCGGCTGATTGGAGGGAAATGTATGAACAACATGATTTGGAGGAGGTGTTGAATATATTTTATAATCAGCTTAATAGCATTTTAGATATATGTGTACCTCGGAAATATGTTTATAATAATATTAAAAATTCTCGTTTTATATATCCTGATTGGTATACATCAGAAATTATTAAACACATACAGATTAAAGCCAAACTTCATAAAAAATTTAAGAAAACTAAACTGGAAAGTGATTATTACGAATTTTCATTGTACAGAGCCCGGATCAAAAAATCTATACAAGTTGCACATAGGGAACACATTAATAAAATACAAAATCAGTTTGCAAAAGACCCAAAATCATTCTGGCAGTACATTCAATCAAAGAGAAATAGACTAACTAGGCAAAATATAGTGAAAGATGGTCAACACCTCCCGGATCATGAATGTTCTAGACAATTTGCAGAATTCTTTGAATCGGTCTACAACAAAGAACCTCCTCGACTAGACGTGCGTGCAGCAGTGGCGGAGGCGCGGCCTTCTGGTGCGCGTGTACACATTACAGCTCTGACTCAACAAGATGTAATGAACGCGATCACTAGCCTCAAGCCCAAGCGGTCATCGGGCCCGGACGGGATCCCTGCGTTTCTGTTCAGAGATTGTGGCAGGGTACTGGTGGAGCCATTAAATTATATATTTAATATGTGCTTGAAGCAAGCGACGTTTCCGTCTCGGTGGAAAATCACACGAGTCGTTCCAGTCCCTAAAGGTAATGCAAGTCAGGATGTTCAGGGTTATAGACCGGTGGCGGTGCTGTCGACTCCTGCAAAGGTGTTCGAGTCTGCTATTCAAGTCTGTGTGCAAAGACAAGTGCAAGCACGTTTGGCAGACGCGCAGCACGGGTTTCGGCCGGGGCGCAGTACTGCTACTAATCTATTGAACTTCATGGCGCGCGTGGTGCCGGCAGTGGACGCGGGGGTACAGGTAGATGCCGCGTACTTTGATTTTAAGAAGGCTTTCGATACGGTCGACAATGACATATTGCTGAGTAAACTGGCCGAGATTGGGTTTACTCCACAACTCCTAAAATTCTTTGTCAGTTATATGAAAGACAGACAGCAGTATGTCGATTATAGGGGTTGCGAATCCGAACCATATTTTGCTAGGTCCGGAGTAAGTCAGGGTAGCAACTTAGGGCCATTGCAATTCATTATAATGATTAACGATTTACCGGAAGTCGTTAAGCATGGACTTTGTTTGTTGTTTGCTGACGACCTGAAGTTGCTACTCGAAATTAAGAATGAATCGGATTCAAAGCGTCTTCAAGAAGATATACAAAGTGTAGTAGATTGGAGTCAAAAGAATAAGCTGTTCTTTAATGTAGACAAATGCTCCATGATAACGTTTACTCGCGCAAAAACTCCAGCGCACTACGAGTACGTGGTAGAATCTGGACCGATGCAGCGAGTTTCACAGGTACGAGATCTCGGAGTTATCATGACACCAGACTTAACATTTCGGGAGCACATTACTAAGGTGTGTAAAAAAGCATATAAAAACCTAGGGTTTGTACTGAGGCAGACGCAAAGATTTAATAAAATATCTACGCTCAAGGTACTGTATGATGCTATAGTCAGAAGTCACCTTGAGCATAATGCGATCATTTGGTCTCCACACGAAACGAAGTACAGTGTCATGTTAGAGCGAGTACAAAACAAGTTCACAAGGCACCTGTACTTTAAACTGTATGGAGTATACCCTTTTTACCCCTTAATGTACCCGACACTATTCGTACTTGGTATGGTCGGGTATAACGAGCTAAGAGTACGTAGGGAATTTACTCTGGCTTCTTACGTGGTGAAGTTATTACGGGGTACAGTCCATAACCCGGGAGTGCTGCGCTACCTGAAGCTGTGCGTACCTGACCGGTACGTGTGGAGGCGACGCCGTCCAGCACTGCTCGCCATCCCTGATACTAGAACCAACCTGCTGGCCAAGACCCCGATCACTCGAAGCGTTCGCGTAGTGAACGAAGTTCATAGCCGCGTTGATATATTTTCGGGGAAAACGAGTGATCTCACACAAGTTTTACTCCACATATGTACATATAATAACATTTGATCTCACTGAAATTGATGTAAGTGTGCTTTTATTTTTCTTTTATTTCTTATAAAGATTTTTTATGTTAGTGTCAGTAGTTTTCTTTTATGTAGTATGTGTTTAAACGATGTAAGTTACCTAAGTAAAATAGTGTTTAAGACTTATTATAGTATTCACTTTATAATTTTAAGAATGTTTAGGAATTAAGTTTGATATTTGTTTATTACCTTACCTTTTAGTATTTTTTATGTTCTTGTTTATTCTTTTCGATTGTTTAAATTATAGTAGGTAAGTATACATTAAATAATTAGATTATAAGTTCTTACTTTTGTATTTTGTAAGACTGATGG